AACATATCTGGGAATAAATCATTACAAAGTTCAGCAACTCAAATTTAATCTTTAGCAATTAAAATATGAGTCAACTGTCAAAAATGTGCTTCACATTCCATTTTTCAGGAAGACATACAAAACAGGGCAAACATTTGAATCAGGCCACAAAATCATAATCACCAGCTCATTCCATGAAATTCAGTGAGAGGACCTTCAACTCAATAATCCAGTCAGTGTTGTTTATCTGGCTCCACTTTGCAACCTGAGACAATGCAACATGTTCCACAGTTGAAAGGTGAGCCAGCATATGGAGGAAATTCTAGAGTTGACTCCTGGTTTACAGGAAACATGTGATTATCCAGGACACAGCACAATCTGGTAGAAGAATTTCTAAATCTGTTTCACAGACCCGCTGCTCAAGGACACTAAAAAGAACCATCCAGAGAAGTAGAGGGAGCAGCTGCAAGTAGGCTAGAACACATCCACTTATTTGTAGCACTGGTGACAGTATTAACTATGAAAAGTTGCCAAGATCGGTTTGGGTAAGGGATGAATACGTTTTCAAATCAAACAACCACCAGTGTTCAAAAAGATCTTACCCTTTGGTCTTACCAAATCTACCTAAAGACCATCTCAGAAAAGAGACTATGACAAGAGTCAGTTTCCTAAAACAGATACCAACTTCCTGAGCCTGATTTTTATGTTCTTTTGTGGCTGAGAATTTTAATCAAAAAATATCTGGAAGGCAGAAGTACTCAAAAAGGCCAAGAGCACAAACCACCAATAGGTTCCCTGATAAATCACCAAACTCGCCCTATTAAATGTTAATTTCTGTACACACTGTCCTGAGTCTTTGGCTTTGACCCTAGTGAAGGAAGGGAAGTGAGGCTTTTGGTAGGGAAGACAAAGAGAAGGCAGCATGATGAGACAGAAGGAAAGGAGAAGTGAAGGGGAATGGGCACCATAAATACTGAGAGGTAAAAAGACACTAAAGACAAACTTTGCTAGCAGCCACTTACTATGCATTTTCCCTCTTAGTTACCAAGCCTGTTAATAATGAAAATATTTTGGGGAATACTATTTAATTAATGCAAACTTAATGATATGAAATATAAACAAAGATTGTGCATGAAAACTAATGAAGCTATAGGTTCCTTGAAAGTTTCTATTCATGTAATGATAGAATTTTTTAAACACAGTTGGGTGCTAATGGCTCACCTATAATCCTAGCTACTCAGGATGTTGAGGTCTGATGATCAGGGTTTAATCGGCCTGGGCAGACAAATCTGAGAAATTCTTATCTTCAGGTGATCAGCAAAAAGCTGGAAGTGGAGGTGTGACTCAAGTGGTTAGAGACACAGCCTAGAGAGAAAAAGCACGAGGCTCTGGTTTCAAACACCAGTACCCACACAAAAGATAAAAAATGAAAATGAAAATTTGAAAAACACAATACTATTTTTTTTAGTCTCGGCTTTACACAGCTCTATTGAAATGAACACTGAAGTAAAACTTGAACATTTTGTTCCTAGTTTTGATTTTCACACTTTGGACAAGTGTCTTAAAGTTAAACACTAATCTTTTATCAGTGTTCCCACTCGTTCAAAGAGCAAATATTTCTAAAGTGATTTTTAAAAAGAGCTATTTTAGGAGTTATGCAATTCTGACTGCACTTTAGAATCACCTGAGATTTTAAAAATAAGTCTGTTGGCCACTGAGATTCTTATTTAATTGGTCTGATATGCAGCCTTGACATAGATTTAAAAAGGAAACTCCATTGCGATTTTAATGTGTAGCCAAGATAGAAAATCACAGATCTATTTCATCTTACATATTATGTGATGATCAGAAAAAAATGCAAAAATCGTTGTTTTGGAAATTTCTCTAATTTAATAATGTCTCTACCTACTGTCTTACCACCCTCAGCAAGATTAATTAACAATTAATAGCTTCTTAGCTATTTTCTCTCCCTCCAAGCTCTTCTCATTCCAATAAACCATTCTATGCTGGTCTAACTAATTAGTGTGGTTCTGAAACATTAACTCTCTGAAAGTCATTTTAAGTGCAGTAATAACAACATAAGCAAATAGAATTGTTTTCATCAAATAGATATGCAGTGCATACAACCTGAAATATGTGCTATAAATCATTTCTTGTATGCCTACCTTCATTTACACATAATGAATACTGATACCTTTACGTTAAAAAATATTACCTCCAAATACTTAATGACTACATTTTGTCAAAAAAAAAAAAACGCAAAGGAATCATCCACAGATATCTCACTCCGATGAAAAAAGAACAGAACACGACCTTTCTTTCCTGTCTAATCTTCAAGTATTTGTTCAAAGAACTCATATTCAACCAAGGGAAAAACAACAAAAATGAAGTGGAATTATTTCAAGAAGTCTAGCGTTACTATAGACACTGCTAAATATTATGATGCAGATTGGAGATGTAATTTAGTATAGAATGCTTAACTGGCATGTTTGAGCCTCTGAGTTCAATACCCAGCAGTGAAAAAAAGCAAATAAGTAATTAAAGGTTGTAATGAATGTTTAACAAAATTATGATTTTTTTAGTATTTTTATTGTAAAGATACTGTACAGGGGATTACAGTTACATGAGTAAGCTAATGAGTACATTTCCTATCAAGCATTGTTACCCCCTCTCAAAATTATGATTTTGGCTTAAACTTGCAGTCTTAGCTACTGGACAATGCACTTGAGGCCAGCAAGGGCATGAAAGTTTGAGAGACTTGATCTTAACCGATGGCTGGTTGAGGTTTCCAGTGCCTGTCATCTCAATATACAAGGGAAGTTCAATGGCTGGGCACAGAGGCACAGGGCTGTCTTCCTAGCAACGAAGGGAAGAGCAAATAGGAAGATTGCAATCCATGCCAGTCTGGACATAAAAGAGAGACACTATCTTGAAAAAATAATCACTCAAAAAAGTAACTGGTAGAGTGACTCAAAAGGTAGAGCATGAAGCCTTGAATTCAAACTCTCTTATGGCCAAACTCTCTTATGTGTTGAGGTGTGTTCCAGGAAACAAACTGAAGACATAAATGGCAAAGGTTATAATCATGTATGATACTACTCATATTTATGAGAATTATCAAATAAAATAAAAGGAATATAGATGAGAAGACAGAACAAGTACATCGTTTATTTTTTGCCTTTAAGGAGCTTTCCATCTTCTTGAGGACAGCAAGAGCCAAACATAAAATGAATACAATGTGAAATATGTAATAAAGGTAACAAGATGGTCTTTGGAAATTTAAAAAATAAAATAAAAGAAAAAACTGGAGACTGCTGTGGACCTGGACCATGGTACTTGGAAAAACCTCTTTAGAAAATCTGGGGCTTGAACAAAGTTAAACAGGTGGAGAAAAGAAGGAAATCTCAAGCATGTAGATAACCTTGTACAAAGATGAGGCGTAAATACAAAAAAAAATATTTGAGTGACACAAAGAGGTGACCCTGTTGGAAGAAAGATGTTTATGTAGGAGAGTGCAGATACAGGTTGCAATAATAACCAAGGAGCATGACAGTGAAAGCCCTGAATGTGGAACTATGATACTTAAACTCTGTCCTGTAGATAGAATTCTGTCTAGGCTATAAAGAACAATAAGAAATAGTGCCTCTAATGATGCAATCTGGAGCCATTTTCCTCAAAGCTTTTGAAGAACACATCAAGTAGTATATTTGCTAATACAGTCATTGAACATGTGAACATATTGGAAATTTTGTGTTTATAAAAGAGTAAATATTCAAATGTGCTTTCTGAAACACAAAATAAGGTATGTATCATTTCATAGTTCTTAGGATAATGCCTAAGGAAACCACTGAGTGAAAAGGTTCAATTTTAGATTTTCCTCCTTTCCTCAGTCTTCTCTATCACATGTATCTAGATTCACTATTTAATGTGTTGCCCTGAAAATAAGGCCTTTTACTATGTGTCACTATGCATGAATTTACTTAGTGTGTTGTGTCAAAAATGAGTATAAAATATTTTAAAATAATTTTTGCCATGATTTATTCTATTGAAGTTCATGAAACAGACACATAAAAAACAAATTTAAAGTTTATATAAAGGAAAAAAACTTCACCAAACTAAAGTAGCGAAATTTAGAAGCAGCATTAGTCCAAAAAGTAGCAAAGAAAGACAGTGTGTTCATAACAAAAAAAAAGCCACAACAAAGACTAAGACACAGAATATAGCAAGAACATTACAATAGCCAATTTCTCACCTAAAATAAGCCACTAATCCACAACTCTGTAAGGAGTGGACATATTTTTCTCCAAAATGCCCAGTAAAATGCGGGGCTCTTTCTCTACAAAAATTAATAGTAACGTAACTCAAAACAAGGATAATCTACATCCTAGTTAGTTGTAAGTGATGAATGATTTCATTTGTTACCGCAATAAACATTAATTAACCACCAGTACCTTCATAATAGTAAGGAAATGAAAATTCTTGCTCTTTTAAAGGCATATGTGTCAAGAAAGAAGTCAAGAATAGTTAGGGATGATTAAGCCGCATACAAAATAAGAGCAGAGACAAACCATGATTGTACTGCTGTTATCCTCTGTAAAGGGCTCTGTCATTCTAACAGGCACAGATGCATTTAAGGAGTATGTAGAGATTAGCATTTTATGCATTGTCCATTCCCAAATATACACACGCCCAACACAGGAGCATCGTGTTGAGTCGAGTTGAAAGAAGTGCATTAAGGAAGGTGTCAATGCCTCTCTTCCACCCAAAGTGGCAGAATTAGCTTTAACAACAATGCTTTAACCCCAAACATCCCACCCGATTTCCTTATTCCTGGATTGCTCCTTACGTTCCCAACACTCGATTCAGTGAGACTTTGTTCGTCTCACCGCTGCCCCCGCGCACCCGCCCTGACCAGCCCAGTCCAACAACGCAGCCACGCAGCCGCCCACTCCCCCCCACCTCCTCCAGGGCCCAGCTTCCCCTCCCCACCCCCACTCGCACTCCCACCCCTGGCCTGTCACCTGCTTGGGTGGTGTCTGTCAGGTCGTAGCCGCTGCCCGGGAAGTCCCGGAGTTTCCTGCCACTGAGGCTCAGGATGCCGGAGTTGCCCGCCTCCTCCAGGGCCCGGTCCAGGCTCCTCACGGTGTGTTGAGGCTGCAGGCTCCCCGGGTTCCACTGCGGCCCATTGGGAAACGGCTGGCCGAAAAGAGTCGGCACCGGGATGGGCACCACCAGGATCCCGCCACTGCCGCCTCCACCTCCCCCTCCGGCCCCACCACCTCCTCCTCCGGCCGCGCTACTGCCACTGCTGCTTCCACCTCCACCACCACCGCCACCCCCACTGTTACCACCACCTCCCTGACTCGCCGCCATGTTCCTGGGAGAGAGAATAGCCCCCGACAATACTCTCAGCCTGAGCCGCGAGTGTAGGGGGTTCTTAGGACGCATGCGCAGGCTGGGAGCGGGAGGGGGCGAGATATACGGTGGGAAGGAACCAGGGGGCGGGCTGCTAGGTACTGTTGGGTAGAGATGTTGAGTGTACAACGCTTGCTTTAAGAAATATAGGATGAAAGGAAGGATGCTAAATCCAGGTTCCGCTAGTTTGGGTACCAAAATCTTGGGAGGTGATACCAGGCTAATTGTAAATCGTCTGGATGGTGGGTTTTCAAATCTCTTTAAGTTGTTTCTTCTTCCTTCTGAAAAACAAAAACAGATGTGTGAGACAGGGATGAAAGGAATTTGTGTAGAAAGAAAGCATTTCTATAGACTATGAGGAAGCTTACTGAATTTGTTCCAACTGCTTCGAGATCATTAATGAGAGTGAACACAGACAGAAACGCTGGAGAGTCTTGGGGAGGAAGATTGGGGCGATATTGTGTTTTAGACATTCGTAAATTTTGCTATTGTTTAGAATTCCAAAGTAGGGAAAGACTTTAGATGTTCTCAAGAAAGCCTCGCACTAACACTGGGTCTCAGCCAAAGTACTGCCTCCCAAACTTGGAAGAGTTCTCCCCGTTCTGTTCTATCACTCTTTGAGGTTGAGCCAAGGTCTCCAAAATATCTAGTTTCTTCTCCTCTCTCAGTATTGGATGATAAAAAAAAAACCTTTTGATCATCAAGCAATCTTAGAGGTTACTTTTCAAATACAGGTTTTGATGCAAATACAATTCTCAAAAGTCAATTCTAGGTAAATGAAATTAATCAATCCTGGATTTTAGCATCACCTTTACAGAGCCCGAAGATATTTCTAATCTAACCCCAACTTACCTAGCGAATAACATAGGTAGTTGGCCTCTTCCTGCCCTCTACCCACCCCGCTGGGGGTCATAGTTATTCAAATCTTTATCGCTAATATTCATTGAATATTACTCAATAATCAGAATGCTTGAGTATTTTCAGTCAGCATTTATCTAAATATTCTACACATCTCATTCACATTACTTTGAATTAAAACTATGTGTCAACAGGCTCGTTTTTATACCCCCCCTTTGTCTGCAAATACCAGGGTTTGAACTCAGAACCTTAAACTTGCTCAGCTTGATTGCTCAAGGCTGATGATCTACCACTTGAGTCACAACTCCAGTCACACTGTTTGCTGGTTAATTGGATATCGGAGTCTCCAGGACTCTTCTTCCTGAGGTGGCTTCAAATTATAATTCTTTAGATCTCAGCCTCCTGAGTAGCTAGGATTACAGGAGTGAACTACCAGTGCCAGCTCAACAATCTCATTTACTTAAAGAAATCTCTGTTACAGGCTATACTTTGTGAAAAAGTATACAGAAGACTGACAATTTCAGTTACTTTGTAGCCCTAATGGCTAATTAAAATGATTATGTTGTGAGATATTGATTCAGCATATGTATGAACACAGAAGAAACAATACCTGAATCAAACATTACAGTGAACTGGAAAGAATTTTAGTTGCTATTGCAAGTAAAAATGAATCGCTAAAATCTACTGCTGTCACAAATTAATACTGTACCTTATACCTCACCTCCCTTATATTTCAAATAAAATCAAGTATTAATTGAACCTCCAGAGTTGGGAGGGGTGAAAAAGGAAACTAAATTCATTAATCAGATAATATTATGAAAGGAACTATTCTAATAATTAGCCCAGCATACAGCAGTATACCACTTGCCTATCATGTGGGAGTCCCTGTATTCTATCCTCAGCATACAAAAATAAATAAAAATTCTCCAGGTTGTATCCTGTAAAATAAGTATTTTTATTTTTGTATAAGAATAAGTAAAGTAACATATACAAGTTAAAAACACAATACCTGGTATACAGTCATTCATACAATAAATATTTACTGAACAGTTTTCTCTGTGCAAGAGCTATTCTATATGCAAGAATTATCAGGCACTTAAAGATTACACTGCTCTCCCCTCAAAAATAAAAAATAGGTGGGCACTGGTGACTCACACCTATTTATAATCCTAGCTACTTAAGAGGCTGAGATCTGAGGCTCAAGGTATGAAGCTAGCCTGGGCAGGAAAATCTGTGAGACTCTTACCTCCAATAAACTACTCACAAAAAGCCATAAGTTGAGTTGTACTTCAAGAGGTACAGCACCTAGCCTTGAACAAAAGAAGCTCAGGGCCATAGCCCAGGCCCTGAATTCAAGCCCCAGGACAGACATCAAAACAAAACAAAAAATAAGGCACTTACAAAATATAAGAACACAAGGAAGACAATCTATGAATTCACTGACAATTGTGGGTATTGGTACTTTTTTAAACTTCTGTCTATACATACAGAGAATATTTTATGGTAGGTGATTACCACAGAGAATATTTTTTTAATTTAAGTTAATTTTATTTGTGAACATACTGTACAGAGGGGTTACAATTACATGGGCAGGATAATGCGTACATTTCTTACCAAGCATTGCAGCCTCCT